ACGTTACCTTGATTTTAGCTGCCGCCTTTTGCAGCAGTCTCGCCATCAGCTGGAAAGGCATCCTAAATCTCGTCAAGATGAAGCCAATCCGCATGATGGACGCGGGAATGCAGTCCGCAGCCGCAGCCCTGGCTCCCGCCTTGGCTTTGGCTTTCGCCGTTGCCCCGGCTGTTGCCGTTGGGCGGGCGGCGGACTTCCGGTGCGTCGGCGCTGCCCAGCCACCAAGCAGGCCCATGATGACCCCTGAGATCGCGAGGCATACGTGCATGGCGTTATAAAGGCCGAGACCAGGTCGTTTTGATCCTCGAAGTAGACCTGGGCCAGCCACGGGGTCAGCCATAGGGTTGAACCATGAGGATCGACACCAGCTCTGCTGCCGACGCAGATCCTTCCGAAAGTGGCGACCCTTCAACGCCATGAAAATAGTCATGCAAAACAGCCCGGCGACCTCCAATGCCCAAGATTCTGGCGCAATGCCCTCCGCGTGCCAACCGTCCTATTGGCCGCAAACAATGCTTGCCGGGCCATTGCGTGGCACGAAGAACATGGCCAGAGAAGATTGGCAGTAGGATTATCACTCGGAGCTGCTTGAGCCAAAATAGCCAAAATGGCTACGGTTTAGGGCGTTTCCCTCCTACAGTACTAGCTTAGCAAGGGCGAGGCCCGCATTGCAGGGTACGTTGGTTGAACAGCTGACAACGGCCATGATCTTCAACGCCAATTCAATTACAGTATGTCTCCAATACCGGAGTGACTTGTCGACCCAGGATGTTAGAGCGCATGCTCCGTCCGTCACGGACCCAAACAACAAAGATCACACAAGTTTCCTGTGTTTCGCAGCAATGTACATCCATCCGGTCACATCCTGCATCACTCACTCGCTGAACCCGTGCATGACCATCAATGTCGATCAAACTTGCACGAGACCATACACATTGCCCGGTATCATCTGCAAGCCCAGAGCCAACAGGGTTTTGTGGGCTGTACTGTCGCAGCGAAATAAAACCAGGCAAGAATTCCAATAATTCCACATTGAAGGCAGTGCGCACGTCGTCAGAGTTGCACGTCGTCAGAGTTGTATGCAGCAAAGTGCCGATTTGAATTACGAAATGCCAACGCAGAGCTTCCATAGGTCGTATTCACAGACAGAATGGCAGGGCAGCTGACTACTGAAGCCGGCGGCATCAGTCAGCCGTTGGAGGAGCTGGAATAACTCCAATTGAACCGCGAACCGGATTGGTGGTCTTTGCAAGCTACATCGTCTTTGCAAGCTACATCGTAGTCCGGGTTTTGTTCCCTCTCGCATTGCAATAGAAGTCTGTGCCCGCTCGCGAGGTCTGTGATTGAGTACAATGGCCCAATGGCTGTATAGGGTTTAGGGTTTTTTGCCCCCGCCCAGCTGAACAGTTTTCCGGGGTTTACAGTCGGTTGTAGGAGTCTTCGAATCGAGAGGGTTATAGTTCCTTTGCGCACTGGTACTCTTTAGGCCTTCAGGGGTTTACAGGGCTTCTTAGCAAACATCATCACAGCTATGTTGCATCACGCAATTGTCCAGATGCAACAATGGTCGCCTCCAACTTGCTAGCAACAGACCGAAGTGCTGCAAGCCAAAGCCTCTGCCCTTAGGTCCTGGAGGCCACGAACCCGCCGGAACCCCTGAGGTCCCCCCGACAGAAACAAGATAAGCCGATAAGCCCGATCTCCGAAACCTCCAGAAAATCTACCTTTACGGTCCCATGGGCCTTGGTGGTTTGTATATACCTCGTCCACCTGCATATTAGTGTTGGGACCGACACCTCTACATTGCCGACACACTTAAAAGCTCCTGCGCAGCTGTGGTCTCACAGACCTGCGTTGAAGAGCCATTCAAAGAGAATGGTAAGTACCTTGCGCAGGCGATGCACATGTAGAAGCGGGGAGCGCATAGTCTGTCGAGGCTTCCGAACATATTGCATAGAACCAAAAGGTTATGTGCCTCTCAGAACATGCGCGATTGAATGCAACGACGTTGAGCCTGAGAGTGAATGGTTCAAACTTCAGGGAACGTCGTAATGTCCACACACGTGTCCACTACAGAAGCGGAGTCCTGCTAGTTCAGCACACATGAGCAGAATCGGAAACCATCACTGCCGTCGTCATGGCCATCAGCCCGAGCAGTGTGAGTCGTCGAACCCATTCTCCGAAGAACTAAAGCTGCACCTCAGACATCGTAACAAACACCCGCACCACCACGATCGTCGTGATCGGGATGAGAGTCACAGCTATCGGCATCGTCGTCATCATCTTCATCATCCTCGCCGCCGTCGTCAAAACCGGCATGATAGTATCAATGTGCTCCCATGCTGTTCTTATACATGTGCGATCGGTCATACGCTTCCGAAAGAAGATGAACAGCTATGAAGCGGCTCGGATTGTTGATGCCCACAAGTCTCCTTCAGTATCATTGCGAAATTACGATGAGCATGGTGAGGACGACGTTTGTTCCGCTGGTTGTGGCCACCACAATCCGCATCATCGGCCCGGAGCAGTGTCGTAGTTGGAACCAACCTATAGAACATGGCTAGTCGGCCGGCACATCCCGCATGCTGTTCAAGAAGCGGGGCTTAATAAGTTTACCCTAAGGCCCCAAAGTAGTTCCTTTCTGTGGTTCATATCTAGAATCCTATAAGGTAATCCCAAAAAGGAACTACTATGGGGCCTTCGGGCAAGAACATCAGCAGCAGTACCCGGCAAGAGATGGACACATGTCATGCGGGGACTATGAACCCGGAGAGCCTTGAACTCCTAAGCGTCTTGTCGCCAAGTAGCCCTGCATAACTCCGCGAGCGTCGCAAGCATGCCACCTTCGGTTCCTCGCTTTCTGGCAAACCATGGAACTGCCAACATCATACGCTCGACAATGTAAGGTCTTGAGAACAAGTCCTTGTCCTGATCCTTCACATAAGTCAGGCTGACAGAGGAAAACACAGAAGCCAAGGATCGACAAAGTGCAAGAAGGTCATCGGCAGCGGGGCCAATCGCTGCTCTCTAAACCTTCAGTCAAAGTCCCGGCTTGTGGTACATTTGCTAGTTTTGAAGTTTTCTTGTGCAGACACACGCACTTGCATGCGCACACAGGCACACAGAGACAAACAGCGACTCGGATTGGGGCGGGTGCCAGAGAGAGGCAGCATCCCAGACACAATGGAAGGCTTTCGGGAACTGTTCGAGATGATTTCAATATACCCAGGCGAAATTTAGTCGAAAAGTCCCTGACATCCCCTCTTGGTCTGCTCGACGAGAGACGACATGGTCGATGCGAGCATTTCCTGGAACAAGGAGACCTGAGGCAAAGGCCCGAGCCCACCCGAAACAAGAAAGCTCAAATCTAGATCTTACAAGCCATGTCCTGCTAGAAGCAGGTTCCTTTATAGTTGAGAAGTAACGGCAACCAACGGCCGTCCACATAGTGCATGCCAGTGGATATGGCCATCAACTGCGCGGAGCCACTGGAAGGTCGGGTTTACCGCGCGGGGGTTGATATGGCCTCTAGGCTGCCAAGCCGGGAAAAGGTCAAATCTCGCAAGCAAGATGTTGTGCAGATGCTGCTATGTTCAACGGCATCTCCGAATTTTCATATGCTGAAACAAATGCAAAGATGTCATGCAAATACAGTACAGCAGGAAGGAGGAGTAAATGCTGGGCCCATGAGGCACATACATTCCTCTTACCAAAGCTGAAGTCCATTATCGAAAAGCCGACTGTTCAAGCTTCAATCGGAACTCCCGTGGCCGTCCAGGCTGCGAGAGATGATATCGGGGCAGAGGCCAATGGCACAAACTCGCCCCTTGAGCCCACGAGGTCGCCCCCAAGCTTTCGATCCCCCACCCTAGTGGCACAGGGACAGCCGAGGTTGCTGGACTAGTGACTACAGTGCTGCGAGAGAGATGCTGGTCCATTTTGCCTTGAACTACTGCCAACACAGTCCCGAAGCCAGCACAATATCTTATGGTTGGGCTGCGTGACGATGCAGTGTTTACGGCAAGCACCATAACTGAGCATGTTGTCAATGTAAGCTCCTTCGGAATCACCAAATGTAAAGCCCCGTTAACCTGGGCGTGCGCAGTCATGCACGCATGAAAGCATGCATGCACACAGGCGGACAAATAGACAGACAGGAAGACAGATGGACAAACAGACGGACAGACAGACAGACAAAGAGAGAGAGAGAGAGGGAGACAAAGAGAGAGAGAGAGAGAGCGAGAGCGAGACCGACCAAAAGACAGACAGACAAACAGACAGACACACGCAAACAAACAAACAGATATACACATGCATATACATCTACGCCTACACACATACATACACACATATACATGTGTACGAACACACACACATCTGTACACATACATACAAACATACAAATTAACATACAAGCACGCAGGCATACGAACAAGCATACACTTAAACATACGTGCATGCATACAAACATACATGCATACCTTACATACATACATACATACATACATAAATACATACATATATACATACATACATATGCACATACAAACATACATACGTACATACGTACATACATACATACATACCTGCATGTATGCATACATACATACATACATACGTATACTACAGTATGACATGCACACATTCATGCATCCGTGCATGAATTCTTACAGCCACGTATAATGTGCATACATGTGTATATATATATATATACACACACGCATCTATGCATGTGTGTATGTGTGCATTTACGGTGTGTGCATTGGCATCTGTCTCCAGATCTATGTCGCGAAGCTATCTACATATCGTGTGTCTTTCTAAGTATGTCTGAGTGTATATGTATGTATGTATGTATGTATGTATGTATGTATGTAATGATGTCATATGTATGCATGATTGTATTTATGCAAATAAATATGTGTGTATGTACGCATGTATGTGAAGGCGAATTTGCTATGCAAGCGTGTAGATTCCCCATCCCGACACCAGGCCATGAGGACCTCGGGGGACTCGCTCAGCTGCGCATCCTCCAGACCTCTTGCTGCGAGCAGCTCGTGTCTGATGAGTCCGACTTCTGATGCAATGAGGCTCTGAAGATCATAGACACAAACACACACATATGCATATGCTAATATAGAATACAGATGTCAGCATGTGGTCACTCCTGTCGCTGCAGTTGCAATGAACATGGTGCGTATTGCCAGGTTGCGGAAGCTCGGAAACATGCCCCCAAAAGTGAAAAGGGGATTCGGCCAAAGAGTGGCCGCAACGACGGACTTCTACACTACGGGCAAGACTTGATCCCTTTACTAGGTGTACCCTTCACAAGGGCTGGCTCCGAAGGTTCTTAATCTGTTTGGTCACTCAAACCCTTGGAGGCCTCAAAAGGTGGTAGCATGAAGGATCCTTACATAAGGACCCTTGATCTGGGGGTTACATACCCCACCTACCTTAACACTCCAGAAGAGACGGCGGTCCCAAATCAGCCCTTCCTCCCTAGCACACCCTGTCTGCATCTGGCCTTGAGGAACTCCCTAAACCCTGAACCCCAAGCCCTGGTAGACCCTAAAGTCTCGACCTTCGAGGTCGAGCCCGACAGGATCCCCGCGCAAGGACAAGCCCAAACCTCAGGCTCCAAAACATGAAACCCCTCACTTCAAGGCGGGGTGCAGGGCGACCGAATGCAACTTGGAGTAGCTTCACAACACCACGTGTCAGCAAAAAGCGGAAATTGCAGAACATATAGCAATGCCCCCCCTGCATTCTAACGTTCCACGGGCGGGCTGGTGCACGAAGGCCCTTTGCTGGGGAACCGCACCCCAAGTAGCCGTCTCGAGAACCTCCCAAATCTTGGGCATCAGAAGGCTTTCGGGTAAAATATGCGCTTAGGACCAGGCTGGGTTTAGGGAGACTGTGGGGTACGATTAAGCTTCATCTTGCTGTTTTTGCAGGGTCTCAAACGGTTCAAGAGGGTCCCTACGAACTTGCACGTGCGGTTGGGGCTTTGCTTGCCTGCTCTGGCTCGTGGATGAGTTCGGGGTTTCCAGAAAGGGATCTTGTAAGCTAAGGTATTGCTTCAGCTCCGCAGATTCAGGGGCGTGAGGTCATTGTTAGATAAAGAGGGGCACAATCTAGCAGGTATGTAATACATATATATATATATGTGTGTGTGTATATATACATATATACATACAAGTATACCTAACTATGGATCATAAGAGCATGCATAAACACATACATGACCATGAACGCATGTGTTTGCATGTTCGGAAAAGCTCTACCATCCATGACTATCAAGGACCCTGGATAAAGGGATTAGCTATCAGCACCAAGACAGCCTGAAGGAAACAAAGTTCAAACAAACACGCGAAACAATGCCTTGTTTGCCTGCTGTGGGGTTTGGTGCTAGACTCTATTCTAGAACCTGCGCTAGGTTATGACTTCTGCAACATGGCCCCAGCACAAGAAAGTCACAGCCGAAAGTATCCCGTCTAGAAACTTCGACATTGCGGTGTCTAAGCAGTACAGTAGACCGTAGACCTTATACAGTTAAAAAGGCCACACAGTGCTGGGATTACCTATAAACCAAATTGCTCTTGGGGGATCGAGGCTATTGGGTTTCTAACTTTTTGGGGCTTCTACTGCAAGTTGTTATGCTGAAAACCGTCTTCTTCTGAGCCTTGCCAAAGCCAGGGGTCGCCTGCCAGTCTTGAAGTTCTTGAAGACCTCGGAAGCGATTTGGGAGTTTCCGAAAACGGGGGGGACCCTAAAAACGTAGAATAAATAGTACGATCCTTATTATCGGGACCCCAAAATGAGGTACCCATAATTTTCGGAAACTCACATTTCGGGTTTAGGGTTTAGGGGTTCCTGTGACTGTGGACTCCTCCCGGCCCACAAAGCTTGCGGAGTGAAGTAGGAGTACTTTCGTAGTGTTTGTAGCAGATGTAGCACAACAAGCAGCGACTTCTATTCTCTGCGGCAGGCGTAGCAGCAGCAGTAGGAGTAGCAGTAGCAGCAGTAGGAGTGGGAGTAGTTGTAGGAGGAGTAGGAGTAGAAACAGGACGTCGATGAGGAGGAGGAATCATAAGCATGCTAAAACTAGAGGAGTAGTTCGGAGGGCCAGCAGCAGCGGCAGTAGCACGTAGTGTTCCACAACATGGTTAAAGACATGGCTTGCCGGAGCGTCGGTCTGCAGTCTCAACTGAAGCTCCAGCCGAAGAACGACCGAGATACTGGTTTAGGGTTTGGGGAATGATGCATGTTGACACATGGCATGCAGCCTTGCTGAAACGTCTGCGTGCGGGGAAGGCATCACCCTATTTGCCCGCACCAGCAGTCGAGAATCCGGCTCTGGCGGCGAGGAACCTGACCTAGAAGGGCTGCTACATGGCAGCTGCATCTGCTCACTCCTCTTGAGCAGTCTTCTCCCAAGGCTTTTTGGGCCTCGAGACTTGGGACTCTTTCGGCTCAAGGGGCTTTGTGACTTTATCATCCACTTCCAGGATGCCCGGAAGTGAGCGTCCCTGGGCCACCATCTCGGAGACTTGTTGAAAAGTCATGGACTCAGGGTCAAGGGCCAAATCCGCAGCCTTCTGCACCTCTTGGAGGCTGTCCTTCAAGCTCCTGGGTTCTGGATTCTGGATTTAAGGTTAACATAATACAGAGACCCTATTATTTACTATAGACCCCTATCATGGAGCGTAACTAAAAAAGTATATACATATATATATATATATATATATGTAACTTATATGTATATATATAAACAGATCCCAGGCTCTCTGTGGCCTCGGGACCGCGCCACTGGAGCACTGCGCCGGTCTCGGACTGGCGCTCTTCGAAGCCAGCCGCCTCAAAGACGAAGAGGAGGTCAAGGCCGACAGCACGTTCCAGCACATCTCTTCGCATGGAGTAGAGTTTCACGTTGGAGGTATCCTCTGACAACTTTCTGAGGATCTTCGCGGCATTGGCAAGTTCCTGCTGCTTGGGCCCTCCATCGGCCTCTTTCTTGAGCTGTCGCAGCTTGGCACGGGTCGCAGACGGATCGTCTCCCTGGGCCCCTACTTTGTCTGCAGTTGGATCTGCCTTCGCTGACACTTCGCCCTCACCCTTGCTGGCAGCCAGGACGCCCTGATCACCCGGGCCGGGGGAGAGCTCGGCGGGCTGTTCCTGTGGGGTCGCAGCGTATCCCGCGGACATGGCGATGGCTGCGGTGGATGCCGATGGCTGGAACTGAAGGAGACCGCGACTGAAGGTGCGATGGGCTTCTCTTGCTCAAAGCTCGGTGGATGTGCAGGAAGCTCTAACCAATCAAGGGCCGAAAATCGCGATAATGTTGATGTCTTCAGAAGCTGGAGCCTCCCATCTCTTTCGGCCAGGCATCATTTGTGTTGTGGGGCATCATGCCAAGAAGCAGACCATGACCCTGCACGTATGAGTCACAACGAGCGAACATCGGCGTACTCAGGCGCATGCAAGGCAGGAGCACCTGCTCTCACTCACGCGCAAGAAGTTGTTCGGAAGTTCGGAACCATGCAGCCCTGGAGACAAAATCACGGCACCCAACTGAACGCAAGTTTTGATGTAGAATGTCCTAAAGTACGACAAGAAAGCCCTCTGAGGAAAAAACACAAGGGGCCTCAAGCTCTTGCATATGGGTGCTGCGGTCGTTTCTGTATTTGTCTATCGCTATCGACGTCTAACAATATTTCTAGGGCTGCAGTTCAAGTCAAAAGAAACGTACATGTGCTGATGACGATATAGGCATACACTGCGACGGCCACACATGCAAACATAACTACTATCCATCCGTACATAACATATACATATACATATACACACACACATATATATATATATACATGCACATGTACATACGTACATACATACATACACATACGGTCACATGTACATAGTATGTGTATATATATATATATATATATATATATGTATGCATGTACATGTGTGTGTGTGTGCGCGCGTGCGTGTATGTGTGTGTGTGTGCGCGTGTCTGTCTGATGTGTATTCTACCTACATATGTGTATATGTATATATATATATATACATATGTATACACACACATGTACATCGCCTGTGTGTGTGCGCGTTTGTACTTGCTTCTCAAACTTTGCATCAGTCGCACAGCCCATCGGCCTTTACTTTCGTTTCGTCGCTTCAACGTGTATGTATCCGTAGAGGTCTGTTTTGGAGTGCTGCTGGTTGTAAATATGAGATATCTAAAGGAGCAGCTACGCATGAGCGACCAACGAAAGGGCCGCGCCTGGAACTCGGACGGTGGCAGCAGGCAAAGTGCCCAAAGGTTTCGCTGAAACTCCGCCGAGAATTGGCGAGGGTCCTGCGCCACACCAGACCACAAGCCCAGAATCCTCGAAGCAAGCCCTGAAATCCAAAGCTTTGAACTGAAGCCCCCTATAGTTACGGTTTGTGTTCATCCACCAACCACAACTTGAGGCCGCTCTTTCGACAAAAAATGAAAGCTTTCTGACTTGCAGAGAGCTTCTGTCCGTCTATTGAAACCCTTCGGCCCTACAGTGCCCTACCTCTACAAACCCTATATGTCCTAAGATTGACTTACAACAACTCTATAAACTCTGAACCCGCACCGTGACCAGCATTCTATAAACCTCGACATACAGCCCTCTGCAGCGAAAAGTGGCCGATATGAGAGCACTGCCACATAGAGCTGTGGTGACCTACTTGGGGCTCTCTCTCACACGGACTCAGTACTAAATCCTGAGCCCGAAATCCTCAACCCTAAACCCCAAACCAGCAAACCAGAGGAATCCGAGGCAGTGAAGGCACCTCAACTTGAAAAGCAGCTACCACGCGAGCCACCATGGGCAGCTCCTGTCAGAGGCACAAGTTTTCGGCAAGCCTAGAAGGTCGTGCAAGGTAGATCTGCGTCTGGCTTGAATTCAATAAAACCCTAAACCTTAAACAGTAATTTACTATCTGTCATATTTGGGTCTGTTGGAGGGACCAGACCTGGTTCGGCCGCCTTGGCACTCGTGGGTGGGTAAAGGGTCAGGACTGAGCTCTATTCGACTGCAATAATGTAACTGGGGGCCTTAATGTTGTATTCAACTACAATAATGCAGGGGCCGTAATGGCGGACGAGAATTAAGGCTTCTTTGTGTGTGTGTGTGTGGATGTGATAGTGCGAAGCGATATACAGTCATACAGGGGCGGCCATTTGCGCGCATGCTGTACTCTAACTACACACACATATATATACTTATATAATTACAAACATATAGACAGATATAGACATAGATAGGGACTATACTATAATCCCCTATCTTAGTCCCGGCATGAAAGGGTTCTCCTGGTCTTATTCTAAGAAGGCAAGTGCTCGGCTGTCATGCCCAGTGCATGTTCCAAGTGTCGCAAGTCTGGCATCCAGTTTGGTACTGGCATCCATTACATCTTGCAGGTTGAAAGCATTAAGCTCGTTATCGCTACATCGGCATCTACAAAACTCATCGTTCAAATGAGTAAACTGCGCAGTGCAAACGCAACCGTAAAATGCCATCTTGCTCCAGTGCATGTGCCTCTTTGCGAAACTAAGAGCATGCCATGACGCACTTGTATGTACCGGCATGTAAATGTATACATGCGTATGTATGCATTCTGCAACACTCCAGGGGTGTTCCCAGCAAGGTCGTATGCAGCGCATCGACAGTCCATGTCAATGTGCGCTTCGCAAAGCATGACCTGTCCGACAGCCCAAGTCAAGCCCTTAGGCCTTAAGACACCCCGACACGACGGTGGGAGTTTCCGAAAATAGGGGACCCTGATATAGTACCCCAAAGTAGGATCCTGAGAAGAGGACCCCCAAATAAGGGGGACCCCTAATTTTCGGAAACTCCCAGGTGTCTCCTTCGGCGGCGTCGCCAGATCGCGCGGGAGATCGGCCAAGAAATCGTAGATATCCTCGAGCACAGGCTGGCGAGGACAAGGAGAGATCGGGGTCGCCTGTGACTCGTGTTGCACTAATTTGGGGCTCAAACTACCTACTATAATGGTACTTGGACCCTTTGGCTGGGTTTCCTTGCAACATTCACGAGTTCGGCGCGCTGCACACCCAAGTACAAAGCTCAGAGTCTCGACTAGCAATCTGAGGGTGTTAGCCTTTAAGTTTCCTCAAGTCGTTTATAGCTGATTCGATGACACACACACACACACAGCACTGTGCTCCATAGACACGGCCGCGTGCGTCACTCGGACCTACAAGGGGGGGGTGAAGGGTAATTAGGGATTCTGGGTAGTATATTCTAGAACGGTCATTACAATCATAGTAATGGCTTACACTATACCCCCCGATAGAGCCATGATACAACAATATATTTTAATATGCTCTTGGATTTTTTATGAACAAAAATAAGCAAGAATTCCTAAGGAGACTATAGTATAGAGAGCTCAGGAGTTCCCAGATTCTCTCACAAAATCCTGAACATGTTTTTTAACGTTAAAGAACGTACTTTTGCCCGAGGACCAAAAGTCTCCTGAACTGCCCGGTGCAGCTCGCGCAGGCTGTTGGAGACCTTTAGCACGCAGATTGCGAGGGTTGCGAGGGTTTGGGGTTTATATAGGGTGTGGACGACCCCGTGGCAGCAGATTGGGGCTTAGGGTTTGCACTCTTGCAACTCCAACTCTGCAGGCCAGGGAAGGACGAGCTCCTTGGCCCTAAGTCGGCCAGCTTTGGGGTTTAGGGCCGGGCCGTTTGTGGTTTCATGATTGTGCGCCCTCTGTGTTGACGTGCAGGCACGAAGCGAGTGGAGCATCTAGGGAAGACCACACCGTTCCGCCAAGACCGCAGTTTATGCATTGCTAACCGTTCAGCTGCTGCAGAAGGGCACGAAGCCAATAAGAACACGACAATCGACATGCTCACGATTTTGCTGCCGGCGATGAGTGCATTGCCGTCCAGTCTGATAACGAGCACGCTGAGCTAAGCGGCGTGCTTCAAACTGTCTGCTACCTGCTACCGGGCCATGCCGTGAGGCACGGCATCTTTGCTGAAAGAACAACGCTCCACCTGGAAATGATCGCATCGAGGTATCAAATCTCCTCTTCTGGCTTCCAGTGGGGCGGCAAACATGAAGCTGCATGTCTCGGGTCCCACGCGGTTGACACTTCACGGGCAACGTATACAGTATGGGCGGGAGCGTGCAGGCTTTCCGTACGACAACATCAAGTGGAATGCCGACAAGACTCAGCTGCGAAATTGAGACCGCTAGTTAAGAAGACCAATTCGTATCGTTGTCTCACCCTGCTCAAGCTACACAGGCGTTAGACGGTAGACACTTCACAGGCCATAGTGCCATGGTCTGGCCTTCGTCTTTAAGTCCTTCTATATGTCGGCTCCTGACATGACATCTACGGAACACCGGAGGCAAGCACATCTTGCTGACTTTGCATGGTATGCGACGTCTGCGATGCAGCACATTGGCACCGAAGCTACGCCCTGGCGGGGCAGCGGCTTCTCGCTCTCCCTCTCACTAAAAGCCTGCTTCCAAAACCTGAGTTTACGACAGAAAGCTCAACGTCCCCGCCAACTCAGGTCCATCTGCCAAAATGTCGGGGACAGTGCCCTCATTCCTGTCTCGCACCTCGAACCTTGGAGCAAAGTTACAACTGCCAGGGCTTTAGGCCTTCGAGGGGCAGCAGTTGAGATGCATCGACAAAGCCTTTGCAGATGCTGAGTGCTGGCACCTAAGCCGCGGCAGGAGGTGGCGGAGGAGGCGGCGGCGCTGCCTGACCAGCAACGTGGTTGCCATAACAACGGTATCACAATGTGCAAGCTACCAATATGCATACTACTAGAATGCGAGCAGCTGTTTGAACGCCTACATCGACACCACTGCAAACACGGCTGGTCTTTCATCCGCCATGTTAGACAGATATCATCGATCTCCAGTGTGACTGCAGATTTTGCTGGTCGTCAAGCAAGCTTCGATTACGATGAACACATCTGCTAGGCAGCTGAAGATGTATGTATATGTGAAACTATATTCCATGTGCATCTAGGCGGATGCCTGTGTGTATGTATGCAGTTTTAAATACGAAGTATGTACGCATGTATGTATGCATGCATGTATGTCTGTGTGTATTTATGTATATATGCATGCATGTATGTATGTATGTATGTAGGCTTGCGCATGTATGTATGCGTGCGTACATATATGTATACGTGTATGTGTGTGTATGCATGAATGTATGTCTACGTAGGTAGGTACGTAGGTACGTGTATATAATAGTGTGTGCGTGTATATAATGTTGTTCGCCTCCTGCGTGGCTGAGTACAGGAAGCAGGGTGAATGGTACACAAGTATGGTGAGTAAGACCCAACATCATGTGTATGTATATATTCATACACATGTGTATATATATATATACACAGATATAGATGGAAAACTGTATATGCATTTAATAACTTAAGCGTATGCATATGCATATGTTTGCATGCTATTTTTGAATGTTTGCATGCTTGCATATATGCGTGTAAGGATGTATGGCTGCATGCATGTATGCGTGTATGGGTGTATGTATGCATGCATGTATGTATGCATGTACGCAACTAAGTATGTATGTATGTTTTCTGTCTGTATGTATGTATGTGAATGCATATACATGCATGTATACACATGTGTCTATACCGACATGTTATATATATATGTGTGTATGGGATACGATGTGAGAGAGAGATAAGCAGAGCGAGGAAGATACATAAACCCATGGTGATACAACATGTACGTACGTATACATATGCTACCTAATCGAACGAGCAATCACAGTATGATATGTAGATCGACAGAAAGCACTCAGAGATCCATAGGCACAGACAGGTGAGCAGCCAGAGCCAATGACCAAGAGAAGGCAACACGAGCTTCCAAGTTCGCTAGCAGAGAAATCCTCCGAGACGAAGGAAGTCTAAGGAACTTCAAACGACTGGCCCCGCTGGAAATGTCGATGTTCGCTGTCAACATGTCTCCAAATCCAGTGGACAACGGAGACCCACACGTGAGTTTCTGCTGCGACTAGCAACAGTCTCCTGCGGAATTGCGCTGGCTGGACTGACAAGCTTGAACCGCAGTTTAATTGGCAACCTGATGTATGCAGTACCGAAACACAAGGACTAAACTTGTAATGGGAAGCATGACCTTACGTCTTATAATCAGACGCATGACAATGTCAGGCATGGTCTGGCCGCATATGTTCAGAAAACCTGAGCCCCCACAGAGATTGTTCTTCAGCCGAAGGCCCCGCAAGCCTTGCAACCACCGGGCGGCGGCAACAACAGCCCACCGGTTCCTGGAGCTGCGCTAAAGAGAATGCATATGTATATTATATATATATATATATATATATGTATATATATATATATATACAACATATATATTTGATATTATATAATATAATATCTATAGGAGCCGAATGGTACCTTTGAATGCCCTTAGCGCACCCCTATAGGTCCATGAGATTGCTCTTTTGTAGCCTTAGCGGGTCCTCTTGGGTGGCTAGAGCGACGGCAAGGGATTTTGTCGCACACGGCGAGGGAAGGTGAAGGGCCTTGGGGGTTCTAGGGCCTTGGGGGTTCTCGGCCTGAGAGAACGGTGATCTCGGCATTTCGGACTTGAAACGGTTTGAATGTTGCACCTCTCTGCTGGTGAACTTCCAAGCTGGTGAGAAAACGGATCCTATCAGCCGAAGTTCCCATTATGACCTTGCATCCTGAAGCATCGAATTCCAACCACCACATCCGTAAAGCCCAGAAAGCCGTAAGAACCCAGAGTCTGCAACCAAAGCAAACCCTTCGAGTATTACGCACACCCTCGCCCCAACCGTTGTTGGTGAACCCTACAAGTAATGCTCCGGAACGCGTTGAAAGTGTACCCTCCTGAACTGCTTACCGCAACCCCTATATATAGTACGATCTAGTAATCTTAGAAGCTCCTTATAGTAATTCCTTTTTCGAGAAATGGACTTGGCACACATGACTAATGCACGCGTATGAAACGAAAGCACTTGGCATGGCTGAAAGATGACTTGAACAGGCGCGTCTGGAAGACATCAGCTATAACTTCAAGCTGCATCACGTAGCCCTACGATCCTACCCAATTATCATACACCCTAAACCCTCCTTTATTATGTACCCTCATTTTCCAACAAACCTCATAGAGCCTAAACCCTCAACTGATGTACTACTATGATTTTCCTCATTTTTCAACCGAAGTCTTATATGCTGGCAACCAGTATTTCCAAACCCCACCCAACCCTCGTAGCCGGCCTCGAGCACCCTCCGACGGGGCCGCAGCTTGCGCAGCAGCTGCTTGCGGCTGCTGTGCGGCCTGATGTTTTCATTTGGAATATGAGGCTCTTTTTTGTTTTGGCGGGGGGGAGGGTCGATGCCCAGACTCGCATAAAGGGGTTTTATAGGGTTTATAGTAGGGTTTAGTGCCGCTTAGTGCAAGTAGGGTTTAGGCACTCGCACTCGCACAAGCCAGGCGCGGCTATTGGTACCGTGGTCGGATGAGGTGAAACACATCCCGGACTGTTCATACGGCTTGAAAGGTATCGGAGTTCACTCTTGGGCAATCCAGGGGAGGCATGTGCTTCAAAGGTTTCAAAGGTTTAGGGGTAAGGAATGCTCAGTAGGTTTGCATCGGGCTCTAAGCTGAGTTTCAGGCTTTAGCATGCAGAGCTGAGGCATGTGTTGCTGTGGGTTTTAGGATCTCTTGTCCGAGCTTCATCCAAAACTTACAGGCTTGCAGGTGGAAGCATATCGTTCAGCCTAGACATGTGCGATAATACCTACTTGTGCAGTGACTATAACCGCTCTTGGGTTTCCACTCGCGATACCCAAAAGCTTGTCATGTTCCAGATTGCCGTGGTGTTAACATGACCGGTCATGCTTTTGGATGCATGATCCTCTCAGTCGTTCCGACCAAACAAGGTGCAGGGGCATGCAAAGGGCATGGCAAGGTAGGGATGCATACAGGCAGGATTGCCGCACGCAGGGGGCTTGTGTTCAATTAAGAGTGCACATCCAAGCAGGATCATGTGTTGTTTCACAGGCCTATCCGAGTCCTGTCGGTAGATGAGCAGTACCTTCAAAACTGCATCTCAGTGCTGCTTTCAGGACTATCCGATAGCTTCTGCTGCCGTCACTTTCAAATCTGGAGCGAAGCAGCCACCAGTACTCCACATTACTCTCGTAGATATCAGCTTTGCTTAATGCTTGGGTCCTGTAGCTTCGGATCCCTCTTCCTGCCCTTGCAGGAAGCAGTGCCTGCTGGGGAGCTTGTGCGGCCGCGCTAGGAGCCGACGCTGTCGGCATACCCCATGCTGCCATGCCTCGACTGCAGAAAGCTCGGATCTTCATCTTGACCATTCCATTCTAGTGAGGAAAAACTGCAGCTGCAGCTCCTGATCTACCTATACTACACGGGAGCTGGGCATCGGCTTCTCTTCAGCTTGTGGCATGCGCAGAATGCCCCAAGATGCAGAAGTAAGTACTGGATCGACCTCTCGGTCGCTGTTA